GCCACCACCAAGAGCAGGATACAAGATTAATTTTTAAAAAAATCAGTAGCCCTCATTTATACAGATAATAAATGGGCGAGAAAGAAAGCAGAAAACATCACCCTTCGCAATAGCCAGAAATAATATAAAACATCTTGGAGTAACTCTAACCAAACAAGTAGAACACCTGTATGACAAGAACTTTAACTCTTTGAAGAAAGAAGTTGCAGAAGACAACATAAAATGCAAATATCTTCCATACTCTTGGGTAGGTAGAATTAACATAGGAAAAATGACAATCTTACCAAAAGCAATCTGCAGATTCAATGCAATGTCCTTCAAAATCCCAGCAAAATTCTTCACAGACCTCAAAAGAGTAATACTCACCTTCATATGAAAAAGCAAAAAACCCAAGATAGCCAAAACAATTCTGTACAACTTCTGAAGGCATCACAATCCCTGATTTCAAACTCTACTTTAGAGCTGCAGTCCTGAAAACAGCCTGGTATTGTCATAAAAATAGACAGGAGTACCAATGGAACCGAATTGAAGACACGGATATCAATCTACCCACTTAGGAACACCTGATTTTTGACAAAGAAAAAAAAATATGAAATGAAAAAGAGAAAGCATATTCAACAAATGGTGCTGGCATAACTGAATATCAACATACAGAAGAATGAAAATATATTCATACCTATTACCATGCACAAAACTCAAGTCCAAATGGATCAAAAACCTCAACGTAAAATCAACCACAATGAAACTCATAGAAGAGAAAGTGGGAAGTACATTTGAACGCATTGGCATAGGAGACCACTTCCTAAATATAACCCCAGTAGCATAGACACTGAGAAATAATTAATAAATGGGACCTCTTGAAACTGAGAAGCTTCTGTAAAGCAAAGGACATGGTCAACCAGACAAAATGGCAGCCTACAGATGGGAAAAGATCTTCACCAACCCCGCACCAGACAGAGAGTTGATCTCCAAAATATACAAAAAAATTCAAGAAAGTGGTCATCAAAAGAACAAATAATCCAATAAAAAATGGGGTACAGACCTAAACAGAGAATTCTGAACAAATGAATCTAAAATGGCTGAAGGACACTTAAGGAAATGCTCTACATCCTTAGCAGTCAGAGAAATGCAAGTCAAAACAACTCCGAGATTCCATCTTACACCTGTAAGAATGGCCAAGATCAAAAACACTGATGACAACTTATGCTGGAGAAGTTGTGGGGTAAAGGGAACACTCCTGCATTGCTGGTGAAAGTACAAACTGGTACAGATCTTTGGAAATCAGTAGGGTAATTTCTCAGAAAATTAGGAAACAACCTACCTCAAGACCCAGCGATACCACTTTTGGGTATATACCCAAAGAATGCTCAGTCATACCACAAGGACATGTGCTCAACTATATTCATAGCAGCATTATTTGTCATAGCCAGAACCTGGAAACAATCTAAATACCCCTCAACCAAAGAATGGATAAAGAATATGTGGTACATTTACACAATGAAGTATATACTACACGGGGAAAATAGTGACATCTTGAAATTTGCAGGCAAAAGAATAGATCTAGAAAACATCATATAGAGTGAGGTAGCCCAGACCTAGAAAGACAAATATAATATGTACTCACTTATAAGTGGCTTTTAGACATAAAGCAAAGAAAAGCCAGCCTACAATTCACAATCCCAGAGAACCTAGACAACTAAGAGTATCCTAAGAAAGACATACATGGATCTAAGTAGGAAGGAGAAAAAGATAAAATATCCTGAGTAAATCAGGAAAGGGTAAAAGGAGAGAGGAGAGGAAGGGAGGGAAGCAGAGAAAAAATGTATAGCACAACAAAAAAGAAAAAATATCCTTTGATAATCCATACTTATACTATAAATAAAGTCAATTTAATTAAATTTAATTACAATTAAAATTTGTCAACATTATTTTTAATCATGAAAATTCTCTTGATATTCATGAAAAATTCATATCAGCAGTTTTATGAACAGTGTCAGATGATAATCATTTGTATCACCCAGTGATTCTCAAACTTCACTGTGTATCAGCATCATCTAATTAATGACAAAACGCAAGGGCAGGCTCTTAAAAGAGTCAAATGAAATCCAAAGAAGCATTAATGAGTATTTTAAAATATATTCCCAAAAGTTGGGAAACAAAGAAGAAACAGGTAAATTCATATACAGTCTGCCATAATTAAACCAAGAAGATATATACAACTTAAATGGACCCATGAGGACCGGACAGGTTGAAGCAATAAGTAAAAGTTGACTGTTTCCGGAATCGTTATTGTGACAGGACAGGGCAGATTTAGTTTAGAATAGTGCTCACTTTATTTGGATTTCTGCATATCCTAACATTGCATTCACCTGGTGAGGATACTTTAGGCTTTATCTCTTTATTGAAGCGTGACAGCCATGTAGGGTCACTGTGGGTCACTTTGCAGTCACGGTTGTTAAGAGGTAAACTGTATTCTCTGAGTAGTTATTTTATGTAGTTTTTGGTACTTGCATTGTGGATAAGGATTCAATGGGCTAAAGTATCCAGGAATTTCATTTACATCTGAGTAAAATTTTAAATCTCAGTTATAATTTGTGTAGGCATGGGGCATTTTCTGGGTAGTATCGAGGAAGAAGGCTAGCTAATTGGTCCTTTTACAACCTCAAAGTTTATGTTTGATTAACAAAATTTATTTTATGTATCATTTTGTGTTACTCCGTGTATTTTAAATTAATTGAATGTGTTATCATAGTGCTTTCTTTTATAGTCCAATATGAAATGTATGTGTGTATGTATATGAATGAATATTTTAAAGGTAATTTTTAAACTTTAGTTACTTTTTCGTTTTCATATCTTTGGTATTGGATATATTTATTTCAGTCAGTTGTACCTGAAATGCAGACATCCAAAAATAAATTCTGACTGAAAAAAAAAAGGGGGGTCATTTTAAGCCTAAGTCCTTGCTACCAGCATAGAGACTTCCAAAACAGGTAGTAATATGGTTTACAATAAAGGCTTAAAATAAAAGCAGATTACATTAATTTCTTCCCCAACCATAATTTAACTTTCATATATTTAATAAAACTATACTGTTGTACCATAGAAACATATATAATACTAACTTCCTAAACAATTGAAAGTGGTGTGCCTGCACCTTTTAAATATGCACCACTATTTAGATCATTGAACAAAACAAATATTTCAGAAAGATGAAAGCATCTAATATATTGTAAGGCATAGTTATGTAATATGATAGCTAATTTTGGATTTCAACTTGACATACCTAGGGAATTCAACTTAGGAAGTGCTTCCAATAGACAGGCCTTTGGGCCTTTCTGTGGGACATTTTCTTGGTTCCTACTGGTGCAGGAGGGTCCAGCCCACTGAGGACCATGTTGTCCTCCAACTTCTATGCCTCGGCTGTAGTAAAATGCTGTCCTGAGACTAGGAGCAAGACAGTGAGCCATGATCCTATTGATTCTATTTCAAGCTCTGCCTAAGATCCTGCCTTAGTTTCTCTTGATGATGGGCTATAACCTGTAAGATGATATAAACACTTCTCAAGTTGCTTTTGGTCAGTGTGATTATTAAGTAACAGAAAGAAAACTAGAATAATTATATAATAGTTTTCATTACGTCGCTATATGAAAGTTTTGCCAAACTGCACAATCTTATGTTGAATATGTAGATTATGATCAGGATTTTCTTCAATAACAGAGTCTAAATTTTACAATTATTTTCCTGAGCATTCAAGGATAATATAAAATAAAAATTGTTAAAATGTTTTATGTATAACCAAAATTCATTCTTCCAAAAGCATTTGAAAATTAATGAATGAAAAATCAAAATTGAGCCACACGTCTTTAATCCCAGCACTCAGGAGGCAGAGGCAGGTGGATCTCTGTGAGTTCAAGGCCAGCCTGGTCTACAAGAGCTAGTTCCAGGACAGGCTCCAAAGCTACAGAGAAACCCTGTCTCAAAAAACCGAAAAAAAGAAAAAACCAAAAAAAAAAGAAAAATCAAAATTGACTTCCTTGACAAATGGAGAGTTCCAGTATAAGTTTGCTTTGCTATATAACTATTTTAGCATACAATAGTAGAAAAACTCAAAATACCCCTGAATTCTGTACATTAAAAATATTTTCATTGGTTTATTGCTATGGATTATATTTCTATAAATAGTTATATAGATAAAATTATTATCTAATTTTATTAAGACTATAACGCAGATATACTCATGATATGTATCCTTTTCAGATAATTATGTTAAATTAATGAGATTTTCTCTTTTATATCTGATTAGAGAAGACTTTTTTGCTTTGTTAAATGAATGATAATTGCATAGAATCTGAAAGGTTAGTCAAAGCATGAATCATAAGCTAGCCAGGACAATAACCTCAGCTTTTAAAAGTAGATTTTTATTTAACTGTCACACCCATGTATACTAGTTTAACTATTTGTGTGTGGGTGGCCAGGATAGCAAATAAATTTGGGTGAATGTGACAGAACATGCCTCATAAACTGTGGTGACTCACATGATAAAAAATATTTTGTGTTCCTGGGGGTTCATGGAAAGAAGGAAAATTCCCTAAACAAGGTGGAATTTTCAATGAGGAAAACGTAACAGAAAACTTTAAGATAGACTATGGACATGATATTTGGTGTTTTCCTTGCTTCCTGGGTAAAAGTTTCAAAGACCAAGTTAATCTATCTTGAGTTTCTCTCTCTCTCTCTCTCTCTCTGTCTCTCTCTCCTTTATGAGTCTGTAAGGACAAACAATTCCAGGAGTGTTAAGAGGAAATATTAAGTGAAATGTTATGAGTTTGTAAGGACAAACAAGTCTAGGAATGTTAAAATGAAATATTAAGTGACACACAAAATGAAACTAAAAAGTACGAAGCAATGTGTGCAGTGGTGATAAGAGTTTGAGCTGGTGAACAAGTGTGACATAACTATATGATAAGCAGACATGTGTGCTAATCTAGAAGTAAGAAAGTAAAGCAGCCAGGAAAAGTATAAAAACTTGAGGCTCACGGCCAGAAGACATTCTCAAAATGACTGGCCAGACACACTGTCAGAAGCAGTCATAAGAGAATCCAATGAACCAGCAACTTGACAGCTGAGACCGTCCAAGAGCCAGAGAACTAGCTCTTGCCTGCGGATCAAGACTTGCTGATCCAGAGGTCTACATCGAGAGCCACGAACCACTATCAGGTCGTATACACCAATGCCTCAGTAAGATAGGATAGAAGACCTTGCCTAGGACATAGGAACCCTTGCTGAATGTGCGATGTGATTGAATGTGTGATGTGATTGATTGACTAGGATTATTATAGTTTTGATGTTTGCTTATATCTGCCATAGGAATAATTAGAGATTTAAAAGATTGTTATAGTTTTGATGTTTACTTACACCTGCTATAGTAACAATTGGAGATTTGACTATTGGCATAATAAACTTGTTCCTAGAACAAACACTTTGGTCATCCTGAGTATTTGCTTGCAGACCTCAAAGTAAGGGCAGAATGCCCGCTCAGGAATAGGGCTTGCGACTCTCTCTCTCTCTCTCTCTCTCTCTCTCTCTCTCTCTGTGAGTGTGTGTGTGTGTGTGTGTGTCTGTATGTGTGTGTGCCCCCGTGTGTATGCCTGTGTGTGTGCTTGTGTCTGTGTGTTTATGTGTGTGTTTCCTTCATACATTATGTCCATGACAGGACCAAGAATCAGGATAAGGAGGTATGTTTCCACATTGGAATCCACAGTTGAAAATTCATGGTACATGCAGCCTGATTATTTTTCAGTGCTATTACTTAAGTAGATGGCAAATTACTTATGGTTCAATATAGAAATCAAGGAATGGATAAAATTACTGAGCATTTGATGCTGGGAGTCACCTGAATCAGTCATTACTACTTTTCTGTAGTGTAACAATTTATACTGGTATTTTCAGGATTTTTATATGAGTTCCCACTGACCTAAAAGACTGCAAATTTTATATGAGTTCCCACTGACCTAAAAGACTGCAAAAATCTAACTATATTAGATTTGTTGGAGCGTAGCTTATTAAGAATGAAAACTGATGTTTCTCCACTGTACTTAGAAAATATTGAAACTTCCAAACCTGATTTCTTATGTATACTACCTAATTGGAAATACCACCATTCCTGATGTTGATGGCCACAGCAAATATTGTAGAAACTCAGGCTAAGTGCAGAAAATTCTTTAGAAATTAAATTTAAAGACACATAATTGAAAAGTAAGATTGGTTGAATGAGAAAAAGGTCATTTGTTTGAAGTAAAGGCCTCAAAAATCTAACTTCTTAAGCTTCAGCTCATAAAACGTGGAATGTTCCTCTCATGATGAAAGTTAATTGTGTAAAGAATCATCACCTGGTCAGTGACCATGTTGATGTGAGTGACCTTGTGCAGCATCTGAGGTCATGTTGATGTCTGTGGTCCATGTTGTCCCCAAGGACCATGGGCGCACATGGTCCTTCTGTAGCCAGGGGCCATGTTGATGTCTGTGACCTGTGTTACCACCAAAGGCCTCGTGGATGTCCACGGTCTGCCACCATACTGATGTGAGTGACCAACACTGCCATCTGAGGCCATGGTGGTGTCCTTGTCCTGTGCTGCCATCAGGGGATATTTGTGCTAGGGCAAATGATGATGTTGATGTCCACGGTCTGCTGTCACCAGAGGCCATGTGGGATCCATGCAGTTTAAAACAACTTGAAGATTCCATCTCTCCCCAGGCAGAATGATTATTATTAATACTAATAATATAGACAAAGAGAACATTCCCATATTGATCTTTGAATTGGATCCAGTTGTGTGGAATATTCCTTTACACTGGGTGAATATATGTCACTGTGCTTAGTTTAATAAAGAAGTTGACTGAACAATAGCTGAACAGGATAAGGTTAGGGGGAGAGCAAAACAGAGAATTCTGGGGAAAAAAAGGCATAATCAGAGAGTCATGAGAGATACATAGAGAAGCAAGAAGAACATTCTGTATTTTTTTTAAAAAAAGGTACAACCATGTGGCAGAGGGTAGATTAAAAAAATGTGAGTTAATTTAAAATGTAAGCATTAGCTAATAACCAGCCTGAGATATTGGCTGAGCATTTACAATTAATATTAAGTCCCTGTGTTGGGTATTTGGTAACTGGCAGGTGGGAAAGAAAAGTCTGCCTACATGGTTGTGGTTTTTTTTGAAGGTCTCCATTTGCTGTAAGGAGGTTCTTTCCTCACATCCTGTTCTGGCAAACTAAACACTTTTATTGATTGTTCAATGCAGAATATCAGCCTTCAAACCATATACATACCAAAATCAAAAATGGATTCAGCTATTTGTATTTCAATATATTTCTGTAAGTGCATAAATAGATTTATATATGCATATATGTATGCAACAATAATGATAAAAAAAGAAGCTATCAACTTGAGAGTGAGGGAAGAAATAGAAGGGACACTAGAGAGTGCACCATGGATAGGCAGGAGGGAAGATAGGGAGAAGGAAACCATAATCCCTAAGCCTAACTCCCTTAACCCTAACTCTAACCCCTAACTCTAGCCCTAAGGCTCACCCAGTATGACCTTTCCTAAAGAGTTCACAGAGAAAGTAAGTCTCTGAAGCTTTCTTCTCCTACTTTCTGACAGGAAAATCCAGTGAGAGAGGTTGTTATTCCCAGCTAGAAATAGATGCGCAACAGTGCTCCTTCCCTCTAGAGCTGGCTACTTTAAAAATCGTTAGCAGAGTAAGACACTAGTCATTGTGCCAGGAAGCCAAATGGTGACTCACTGGAGAGCTGGAGTGGCCCTCTTGCTCATCCCCCTGTGAATCTCCAGGCAGTGGGAAAATACAGCAACAAAAGAAGCTGGATGCAGAGCTGGGCTGACTCACAGGTCCTTTCTGAAAGGAAAGAAGATCCCATGGAAAACCCCTGGGCCAGAATGGAAGGAAATGTATACCTCTCGCATCATAGTTGCTCAGCCATAGGGGAAACACTCACACTGACAGGCTTAGTTACAAGTTTTTAAAATTAATAATTTCCTTCCATTTCCCAAAATCTGGGAGGTTTTTGCTAAGAAATATACTTACATTTAAGTATATTGTTATAGTTGTTATGGCAAACAGACCATTTATCTAGACTATAAAGTATGTGAGTTGAGTCCTGAAAGCTCTGCTGAGGAAGGGGCAACAGCATGGGGCATTGAGGCTGCAATCAGCTGCTAACCAAGAGGGTTCTATGGTTTGGAACTTGTATAAACAAAAGAAAGATAGACAAGAAAGCCCAAATACAGACTAACCCAAGACATCTCAGTGATGCATGGAGTCACACAGAACCCTACTGAAGGACTCTCGCGGGCCTGTGCTTAGCAAGCATGGGCTCTGGCAGGTTTCCCCCTTTGCCTTGTTAAACCTACTAGATTACATTCCTAAAACCACCAAGGCATATTCCTCTATTTGGCCCATTTTTTCTCCCGGGGCTGACCACCAAGGCCGAGATTTCAAAGTAACAAAAGTTACCTTTTGGCTGCCCTAACTAACATGCCCAATCAAAATTAGCCAACTCATCTGCGGTGGTTCGAGAGAAAATGGCCTTCACAGGTTCCTAGGGTGCATCACTATTAGGAGATGTAATCTTGTTGGAGTAGGTGTAACTTTGTAAACAAAGTGACTAGAGGGCAAGCTTTGAGGTCTCAGATGTTCAAGCCATGCCCAGTGTGACAGCCTCTTCCTGCTGTCTGCAAATTTAGATGAAATTTCAGCGCCTTCTCCTGAACCTTGTCTGCCTGCACACTATGCTTCCCTGTAAACAGAGGTTTCTGTCCCATCTGGTCCTGCAGCCATTCAGTCCCAAAGAAACACACAGAGGCCTACATTAATTATAAACTGGTTAGCCTATTAGCTCAGGCTTCTTATAACTAACTCTTACATCTTTTTTTAAAAGTTATTTATTTATATTTTATGTACAAGTGCACTGCATGTACACCTGCAGGCCAGAAGAGGGTGCCATATCTCATTACAGATGGTTGTGAGCCACCATATGGGTGCTGGGAATAGAACTCAGATTCTCTGGAAGAGCAGCCAATACTCTTAACCACTAAGCCATCTCTCCAGCCCCCCGAACTCTTACATCTTAAATTAACCCATAATTCTTGTCTGTCTGTGTTAGCCATGTGGCTTGGTACCTTTTACCATCTTGCTTCCCCTGGGTGTGGATGAGCCTTTCCTCTTCCCAGAATTCTCCTAGTCTGGTTGCCCTGCCTGTACTTCCTGCCTGGCTACTGACCAATCAGTATTTTATTAAACCAATATAAGCGACAAATCTTTACAGGGTACAAGACCATTGTCCCATAGTATTTCCCTCTGCGACAATAATGAACTAAACCTCTGAAACTGTAAGGCAGATCCAAATAAGTATTTTTCTGTATAAACATTGCTGAGGCCATGGTGTCTCTTCAGAACAGTAAAAGCCCTGGCTAAGACCTCACCCTAGCACAGGGTTTCTGCCTTTTCCTTTATAAACTGCCATTTGCTTACAGGCCACATCTGTCTCCTCCCTTTCAGAGGCAATCTTTTGTCCTTCCAGGGCAAATACCCCTTCTACCTCATCCTCTGTCTCCTGTCTTTGTTCCTTATTCCCTACCCTTTGTTCCTCTAGGGTAAATAAATCTCCCTTGTGCTGAGAACTTGGTGTGTTCTGTGCTGGTTAGGCTCATTTCACCTCTTTCATCACCAAAGACAAAAAGTCAACCATCTGAGGTTAGTCTTGTCAGTCTGACACAGTTAGAATTACCTAGATGTGCCTCTGGGCAGTATGTGAAAGGGACTTCAGTAAGGATTAACTGTGGTGGGAGACCCATCTTAAATGTGGGTGGTACCATTTCATAGGCTGGACTTCTGGATAAAAAGGAGAAAGTGAGGTGAGTAGCACTATGCATCTCTCTGTGCTTCCTAATTGTAGCTACAGTGCAACCATATGTCTTACATTCCTACAGCCACACCTTTCCCTCCATCATGGACAACACCCTTAAAGGATGAGCTTTTCCTTCCATACATTGTTTTTGTTAGATCTTTTGTCATATCAGTGAGAGAACTATCTATATATCAGCATAAAAATATCTATACCCCAGCTTATAGTATGACCTGTTAGGCTTGTCAACTAGGAATAAGTGCAGAACTCAGATCTGTCCTCAGCAGGAATTTCCACAAAGTGTTTGAATAGAAGGGAAGAGGAAGCCTTCTAAGAAGGAAGAGCTGCCAAACAAGGGCTGTCGTTGGATTATTTAAACAGTGTTGCTTCAAAATTCACAACCACTCAAGATCTCAGGCTGCAATTTTCATATTTGGGAAGAGTCTTAGCAGAGGTGACTAAGAGAAGTAAGTGGATGAAGTTGATTTGGATTGGAGATAAGACACAAGAAAGGACAAACAGGAGCAAAGTAGGTTACTTAGCCTGGAGTAAAGGAACACTACCAGCAAGCAGGGAGACACTGAATACTGGGAGCACCAAGCACAAGCAGGGGGATCTTACTTACATATGATCAAGATCCACTTGTCCATAGAAAAGGGCACCAGTACTGGCACAAATAGTTCAAGGGTCTTGCTTAAGCTAGGCATGATGGTGTATGCCTGTAATCCCAGCATACTACTCCTACTTAGAGGTAGAGGAGCTGAGTTCCATGCTCGCCTGAGCAAGAGACACTATCTCAAAAAAAAAAGTAAACAAAAATATGCTAGATGTTATGAGAAAAGTGAGATAAGAAAGAATCTACTAGTCAGACTTGAATGGGCATGAACACCACTCAGGCCTCTGCAACCCCATCCTTACTTCCAAGCTTCATCCTCCTCCAGCCTCACTTCTTGAATCTGTCATACAAGAAAAAACTGCCAGATTGGGAGGCATGACCTAAGTGGTCAGCCAGGTCTGCCTTGAGGAACAAGCACCAGTGTTGTAATCAGGTAACCACGGTGACCTTCAGTCTACTCAGCCAAGGGAGGAGTCAAGTTTGTGGTCTAGGGGCCTTCCAGAGTAGAAACCTAGCAACACAAGATATGAATTGATTTGAGTTCTTCCATTTTGTTAATGTTATAAGGTGGAAATAAAATCACTCACGAGGATCCAATTTATCTGATGGGAATGCAATGCACTTCCTAGAACAGAATGGAGAAGGGGAAGAAAGGAAAGATGGAAGGGAAAACAAGATTAAGGAGTAGAGAATTAGGGAAGATAATTAGGTCAGGCTATCTGTTTGCACATCCATTCCACTTCAGAACTCAAACTGCCTTTAACTGTGAGTCCAGCTGTGGGTCTTGTGTCTCCAGATGTTTCTGCAAAGAATGGCTATGGCTTTGCCCTCTTGCCTTATAAACCTTAAAAATGACACCCCTTGCCAGACAGATACTTCAGCAACTCAAGGAAGGAGAGCAGAGGCCTTTCCCACTAGCCTGCTTGACACCATTCAGCATTCATCACAAAGAATGGCCCAAGTACCAGAGACCTGCATTGACTACCTGCTGCAAAAATATTTGGGGTTGTGCACTTGGCCAATGGAATGTTTTCTAATGAGCAGTTTGCCAGAGAAATCCTACTCCACTGTACTTGGGGGAGTTTCTCCTGCTCCTCTTGCCCCTGTTCAAGGTCTTTGTCTTAATTCACTTTTTTTCTTTTTCCCTGTCTAATTCCATCTTCAAATCAGGAAGACATTCTCATAGGTACAACTGAGCAGCAACAGTACCATGGAGCAACAAACTTCTCAGCTGCTGAAGCATTCAAAAAATAGAAGGCCCCAGAAGGAAACAAGAATATATCCAAAGTGGAAAGGGAGTTTTGTAAGAGGATGGCAACAGCAGTCACAGTTGTGACACTTGAAAGTGTCCAAAGGCTAACATCCACATGAGGACCCCCAGAGGAAGCCAGGTGTGGAAGAAAATAGGACAGCATGCTCCCTATGCCCCCTGCTGAGATGTGCTGAGGCTTTCCAAGATTCTTTGCCCATAGATGCATTACTGGGAAAACCTTTGGGACAAGAAACACAAGAAAAGGGAGAGAAACCAGGGTCTGCAAATGCCAACCTGATTGATGGTAAGAGTGATGAAAATAGCAGTATGTGGTAACACACACCTTTGATACCAGTGCTTAGAAGCAGAAGCAGAAGGATGTCTATGAGTTTGAGACCATCCAGGGCTACATAATGAGATTCTGTCATGAAGAGTGATGAACTAGTATGCACAGAATATAGGAGACCATGGCCAGTGGACAGGGTTTAGAGGTGACTAACAGAAGAATAAAGCCTGCAATATCTAGCTGCTGCCTAAAGCACAGAGCTGCACACAGCTTCCTGTGCCCTGTTTTCCCCCTACATAGTAACCTTTCCTTTCTCCTAGGTATCTGTCACAATCCAAGTAAACTGCTAGATGCTTTTGTATGTGGGCTTCCATTGTGTGACTCTTAAAACCATACCCAGGGGTGTGGGAAATCCTTCTGCATATGTGTTGCTTTTATTGGTTAATGAATAAAACTTTGTCCTACAGAAGGGCAGAATAGAGCTAGACAGAAAAACTAAGCTAAATGCTGGGAGAAAGAAGGCAGGATCAAGGAGACACCACATGGCTACCAAAGGAGAAAGATACCTGTCAGAGCCTGCCAGAACTTTGTCAGTAGGACACAATCTCATGGTGATGCACAGATTAATAGAGATGGATTAATTTAAGATGTAAGAGCTAGCTAGAAATATGCATAAGCTAATAGGCCAGGACATGTTGTGATTAATACAGTTTCTGTGTGATTATTTAGGGTCTGGGTGACCAGGAATGAATAAGCAGTCTCTTCCTACAAATTGGCACCCAATGTGGGGCTAACACTCATGGCCTGCCACCCATTTCAGGTCTGGGTTCTTGAACACCCACTCAGGGTTAGGAGGAAAGTAGCTGAGAGCACACCAGCAGCTCAGCACTCTTGGCCTGGGCACCTGGCTGGATCAGGTCTGCTAGGCACACACAGGCAGGAGAGCATGGTGGATTCCTGCTGTCATACACAGATATTTCCAGGCCATGCAGCACACTGCATGGCAGATTTGGCTTTTGCTCAGACAAAAATGGTTTATGTGCTGCATGATGCTTCCCAGAGTTGAGATGTGAACACAGCTTTCATCCAGCAGTCCCAGAGCTGTCAGTAAATGTACCTCTCCCATATTAAAAGGCCAAGAGAGGCAGAGCCAGCATCTAGGGCTGCTGCAATGAAGCTGTTTATCATTTTAAAAATGTTCCTTGTCAGAAAATGATTACAGATAAACAATAAAAACAGATTCAGACAAATATAAACCTTTGAACAAGGCACAGTGTGTTTAAAAATGTACATAGGTGGGGCTGGAGAGATGGCTCAGTGATTAAGAGCTTTGTCTGCTCTTCCAAAGGTCCTGAGTTCAATTTCCCAGCAACCATATGGTAGCTTACAGCCATCTGTAATGAGACCTGGTACCCTCTTCTGGTCTGCACTGTATACATAATAAATAAATAAATATTTTTAAAAATGTACATGGGCTTGAGAGAGAGAGAAAAAAGAGTATGGACAGTTATTTTTTTAAAAGATAAAGTCTTTAAAGAGACAGTAAAAGTAATATAAAAGAGTACAGACAGTCATAGATTCAAGGAGTAAAGAAAAATAAACCACATAAAGATAGAATATACACAGAGAGTCTGGATTATGTGTATTATTGTGTTTTCTTTGAAGTTTTGACAACAAAGAGTTATTTGATACTGGAGAACCAACATATATATTTTAAAGGTATCCTGACTTCAAAATTTGTCTTAAGGATATTTTGCTTTGGGAAAGAGGTTGGTTTTGCTTTTGTTTCCACAGAGGGTGGAAAACTGTGAATTCCTTACTAGTTAATATGGTTTGATCAAACAAGAGCCCCTGAAGCAATGGCCCAAGTGGTCCAACAACCATGACTTCTTCAGGATTACGACCTGAGATAAATCTACCACACAGAATACCCCATGAAAGACTTGATTGGTACAGGAAAATTGTTTGTATTCTGTCAATCATGTTTTAAATAAATGCTGATTGGCCAGGCAGGAGGTGTAGGCAGGAAAACAAGACAGGAAGTGGAAATGATGCAAGGAGAGCAGGAGAATTCTGGGGAGGAGGAAGTTGATTTCTCCCTCTCCTGCCCAGATCACTGAAGCAGCAGGATGTGAGCTGCCCCACTGAAAAAGATACTGAGCCACATGGCTATCATAGATTAGATAAATGGGTTAATCAAGATGTAAGAGTTAGCTAATAAGTAGCCTGACCTAATGGGCCAATCAGCATTATAACTTACAGAGATCTGTATGTTATTTTTCTCTGGGACTAAACAGCTGGGGGGCCGGGCAGGACAGAAACCCCAACAAGCAGGCTCCCTCATGTTACACCTGATTTAAAGTGCCCCTAATGAACAGGAAGTAGTCTAGAGAACAACACCAAAATTGCCTAAATGATTGTTTATAAATGTTTGCTTTACAATTAATGGGGGATATACTATAGTGATGAATACTTTGCATTGGTATCGATCTTGGTTTATTGATACAAATTTAAGGTCAATTTTGTTATATGAATTTCTACTCTTGATTAAGGTATTGTATTTGTGCAGTTCATTTAAAAACGTAATATATAATTAAGAAATACAGGTTAATAGATAGAGTCATCTATAATAGTCAAGCTTGTAGTCACGTTAATTAGATTTTCTAAATGTACAGAGATATATTTCAGATGGATAGGTATTCTTCGAACCTTTCAAAGACTAACAGAATATGGTATTTAAAAAATGTTTTAAGACTTTTCATGACAATGAGACTCATCTGCTCCTGGCAGTACCAATCTACTTCAAAAGGATGATGGGAATCAAAGGGGCTCCTTGTGGAGCTGGTTAGGCATTTGGACAAGAAACTACTCTTGCCTAGACTACTTGATGGTATGGTATATAAACTATGCATGCAGAATCCACAATAAAGTGACTGCTTGAACACTTCAAAATATGGGATGGTCCTTCAGTGTTCCTGCTTCACAGAAGAAACTGCCAGACATTCTGCAGGGCATAGAAGAAAGAGACTGACCAACTGTTAAGATAGGCAAAAGAGCCTTTCAAATTTCCTGCTTCATGGAAAAGTCTGCCAGATACAATGGGCTTGCAGGCTGAAGATGGATGCCTCAATGTTACAGAATAACTGTGGATGATTGTCCAGGCAGCAAGACGTCTCTGTCAATTCTAGAGTTTTGGAAGTTGCTTAAAATGTAATTTCTGTTTACTTAAGGAATATTATATCTTTCTGAAGTCTTTGATGGAGTTGAAGAAAGATGGTGATAATTATGAAAGATAGATTAGATATAAAACTTTTAGACTCACAAAGATAGGATAAATGATAGAGTATTTTCTTTAATTTGCCAAATGTAAATAGACTAAATATTATAACTATAATTCTTGCTTGATAACCGTTTTTTTATATGTAGTTTTACAATGTTAAAGTTAAAATCTTCCTTTCTATTTGGGGAAATGGTGTGGGAAGTCCTTCAATATATGTGTTCATTTTATTGTTTAATGAAGCTTACAGCAGGGCAGAATAGAACTAGGTGGAAAAACTAAATTGAATGCTGGGAGAAAGAAGGTTGAGTCAGGGAGACACCATGTGGCTGCTGAAGGAGAAAGATGCCCGCTGGAACCCACCAGAAATTTGCTGGTAGACCACAACTTCATGGTGAAGCACAGATTAATAGATATAGGTTAATTTAAGACATAAGAGCTAGCTAGAAATATTCATAAGCTAATGGGCCAAGTACTGTTATAATTAATACAGTTTCTGTGTAATTATTTCGGGTCTGGGTGGCCAGGAACAAACAAACAGTCTTTACTTACAACCCAATGCCAAGAGAAAAATGTGTCAATATCCAAAGTAAGGATATCTACTTCAAACTTTCATCAGCCTTCTTTCTTATATAAACTATCGGCTGTCAATCAACAGCAAGATGGCACCTGAGATGTCAAGGTTAAGATGAAATTTCCACATGCAGGATGCCGTGACTGCTTACCACAGAGGTCCCAGAGTACTGTCAGTCCTTAGAGCTGTCAGTGACCTGAGCAAGGTAACACTGTGGTGACCCCAAAGTTGACGACCTCAATGGTAATTGCTGCTGGCTGAGATCTTCAACTGTGACTTCTGAGGTCCTCTGGGACATGACTGTATATTTTCATTGTTGTGATTAAATATCTTACAAAATGGAACTTAAGGAATCAAGAGTTTGCTTTGTCTCACAGTTCAGGGGCATGTTGTTCACAGTCACAGTGGGGAAAGTATGAGGTGGATGCCACATGCCATATACAGTCAGGAAGCAAAGAGAGAGATGTGTATTGGTACTCATCTCTCTTTCCCCCTTTTCCCATTTTATTTAGTACCAAAGCCCAGCCCATGAAATGGTGCCGTCCACATTCAGGGCAGGTCTTCTCCCTCAGCTAAACTTCTTTGGAAACGTCCTTACTGAAATCAAGAGGTGTCTCTCACAAACACCCTTGGTGATTATTAATTCAGCCAGTTATCAAAGTAACCACCACACTGACTGTACCCCATTCCAGCAACCTGACTCTGTTCACTCTGCTCCTTGCCTTCCTGTCATTCAGCTGGAAATAAGTGTTCTAGAATATCCTTTATTTCTCATCACTGTCAGGCAATGGGATTTCCTGCAAAGCACCATGGGAAATGCAATGTGTGACCCATGCTAAGAACAGTG